GTGCAAATCATGGTGCTTTTCCTTTTAGATAATATTATTATATCGTGATTTTTTAGGCACACCCTTAGACGTTTGAGAAATACATATTATAATACTCTGTGCAGATAGGCCTACACACGAACAGGTAGGCCAAAATCGTGATAAGTCTGGAGAGTATTACACTTCGCACACAGGTCAAATTCAATTTAGACGGTGAACGTTTGGATTAGCCCATTCGGTTCTTCACAGGCACCAGGCACTGTTGGTGATCTTTGGTGTGGGTTTCACTCCTTGAGGGATCATTAATTCCCCACTTCAACCCGATCCACCTGCTGGCACTCTAGTTGGCGTCCGCTTTCTTCGAGCCATAGTTCTGAGCCACAGATAGCGGGACTGCTTGCAAGACTGGCGATCGTACTGGAGCACTGCCCTCGGTTAGACGGTTAGACCGTGATAAACTGTCGGAACCGGCTTGCCTACGTGTTGTTCAAAACGCTCTAGTTAAAAAGCTATCACCAACCCCACCCGATAACATCAATAAGCACTGTTCGCTTAGCAATGCTCTGCATTTTTCTGGCTTAGTTAGTTGTGGTCTGACACGTCGCGCTGGTTAACCCCGGATTTCCGCGGAGTCTCTATGCCTTCTTGACGTACATCAATCAATTCCGACCGGCAATGAGCATAATTCAACACGACTCCTAACGATACGCGAAAATAATGCAAGCCTGCACATACTGCGAAATCTGGTGGAGTGCGGCAAGACTACCCTGTATCTCCATTCTTCAAATTTATCATAGGGTATGCTCTACAGAATGCTTTTTCTGGTCTAGCGAACAATGAAGTAGAACTCACAGTTCTTGACTTAGAATACGCCGCTCACAACGTCTTGTTGGATGAAAATACACAAACAGTCCAACATGCTTTAAACCGCTTGGCGATCGAGGTATCCAGGTATGCTATGTGCTTTGCACCACATCTTCATTCTTCGTCAAATTCTAGAACACAGACACACCTTTCGTGGACCCACCATCTCTATCTTCATGGATCTAAAAGCGGCCTTCGATTCAGTCGAACGCTCTAAACTCTGGCGCTGCCTTTCCCTGAAGGGAGTGCCCAAGAAGTTTATTTCAATATTACAATCCCTCTACAACAATAGCCGAATCCGAGTTCGAGCTTACGGCACTTTTTCACCCGAGTTCACCACGGAAATTAGTGTTCGACAGGGTTGCCCTCTCTCTCCTTTCCTATTTAACTTTGTTATAGATTTAATTATTGAAATAACCCTATCCTTGTGCAACGTTAGCGGCATCGATTTACTCCCGGGTGGCAGACTGTTTGATCTAGAGTATGCAGACGACATTGTGCTGCTAAGTGAAGATCCAGGTAAGTTGCAAACTTTTCTGGATAGTTTGAGTGTTAGTGTAGCGATGTTCGGTATGCGTTTTGCACCTTCGAAGTGTAAAATGTTACTTCCAGGTTGGGTTGATCCAGCAACCAGTCTCACCTTGATTGGGGAATTAGTAGAGGAAGTAGACAAATTTTGCTGTCTGGGCAGCTATATCTCACCTGATGGACGCATCGCAGATGAAGTGTCGGCGCGCATACAAAAGGCTCGATTGGCGTTTGCCAACTTGAAACATTTGTGGCGCCGTCGCCACATCCGGTTGTCTGTAAAGGGTCAAGTATATGCTTCAGTATTTCGGCCAGTCCTGCTCTACGGTGCAGAGACTTGGCCACTACGGGAACAGGATAAAAGTAGATTGTCGATGTTTGAACACCGCTGTCTACGTCGCATTGCATGAGTCTGGTGGGGTAACCGGACGAGCAACGCTGAGGTTAGGCGTAGAGTTTTAGGTGTTCGCAGTCGTCCACTGGAGCAAGTGATCGTTTGATTTGGCTCGGGCATGTGTTACGCATGTCACTGAACAGGTTACCATGGCGAGCGATGCTTGTCGAGGCAGGTAGAAGTGGGCGAAAGGGGAAGGGTGATCAAATGAAGATCTGAC